TAATAATATGTTACCTAAAAACAATACAATCAAATAACTGACAGGCAATATAAGTAGCATCTAATAACCAAAACTGATGACAGAATAGCAAATTTAAAGAAAAAAGTCAAAGAACAATAATAGGTTTGTAGTTAAGCATTTAATTTCACCAGTAAACAAGTTTGACTTTTAAAATCAGACATTTTTTCCCCTGTCAGATTTGACTGTCACTCCCTGACAAATTAAAATCTGTTTTAAAAAATGAGACTTTCCGGTTCAAAAAATTGAAATGCTTTTTAATTTCTCTACCGATTTCTCAGACATTGTCAATCGCTGTGTGATTTGTGATTGATCACAGTCTTGGGTCCCTGAGGCGAGACATTCCTGCCCTAAACAGGACAACGACCCCTTTAAAATCCATTTTTTAGAAATCAATGAAACAGCATTGGACAAGAAAAGGTTTTTGCTTTAATGTTTGTGCCTTCAAAACACATTATGTTGTGTTTACTGAGCTGCTTGACATTTGAAGATAATTATCAAAAGTAGCATTTCATCTCACTCAGAAATAACATGCAGTGCTGCAGGATAAAAGATGCCTAAAAAAAAACCTCATCTCTTATCTTTGCCGTCATTAATTCTGGACTGGAAGTCTCTCCTTGTTAAACAAAAGGAAGTTTATCTCTTTGGTGATTGCATCAGATTTTCAATTTGATCTGTTTTTGATCCTCATGTTTAAATGTTCCTGGTCTAAATTCCAGAGATAATGTGTTTGCTGGTGTCTGAAAATAAAAAGATGTGTCCAGTTTATGGAACATGATAAAACGTACCAATGATTGAATGTGTTTTGTACACAATAAGTGTTCAATAAAATTAGAAAATACTGTTAATGCAAATTCTTTAGTCTCAAAGGAGAAGAAAAAAAGTCAACACATTTATTTTAGTTTGTGTGTAACTGTACAATGCATATCTTTTCTGTGCAACATACAGTATTTTTACAGACAATGATTTACTTTCTTGTATGAACTTTAGCACTTTTGTTAAGCCATATCATAAAAAATGGCTTGCGTTAAGCTCAGGTTTCACATGGGGCTTAAAGCTAAAGTTTAGCTATTTTGAAGAGGCTTTTTATAGAAAAGCTATAAAAACAAAATATCTAACCTGCTGTAGATAGTGAATTCCTTCAGTTTGACAAAACAGTCTATCTCTGACCATACTGATAAACTAATGAAGGCCAATCATGGCAGCAATACACAAGAAAAGACCCAAGATGCAAGCTTTGCAAAGCGTGTCAGATCCAGACAGATGGAGCACCATAACCAAGTGGCTGGAATAACATACAGGGTCATCTGTGCCGAGATTGGAGGTCCCAGAGTCAAAGAGGGAGACGCCACTAATGGTGGTAGAGAACAAAAGTGCTAAAATCCTGTAGGACTTCCAGATCCAGACAGACAAACAGGTGACGGCTAACCAACCGGACACTGTGGTGGTCGACAAGCAAGAGAAGAAGGCAGAGGTGATGTAGCAATCCCAAGTGACTGTAACATCAGAAAGAAGGAGCACAAGAAGCTCAACAAATACCAAGGACTGAAAGAGGGAGTACATAGGTTTTGGAGAGTCAAAGCATCAGTAGTCCCAGTGGTCATTGGTGCACTTGGTGCTGTGACCCCCAAATTGGAAGAGTGGCTCAAACATATATCACTGCAGGGCCCTCAGGAGAGCAGCCTCAATCATCAAAGACCCAACCCAGCCCCAGCATGGACTATTCACACCTCTGCCCTCCGGCCGGAGGTACAGAAGTGTGACATGCAGAACCTCCAGATACAAGAACTCCTTTTTCACAAGTGTCATCAGCTGAACAGCTGAACGTGACATTCTTCTGACTATTATTGTTGCACGTCAGACTGTTACTTGTTGCACATTTGCACATTACACTTTAAGAAAAGACTGTACAGTTCCCTTCTTGTTGCCATTATTATATTGTTCCCTTCTGATGTTATTATTCTAAGTTTAGTTTCTTTTTTTTAATCTAATCAACATTGTTTGTGTCCTTTCGGTGATGATTTGTTTCTTTTTTTAATATGGTTATCTCTCGGTATTCAAAAATGGATGACAAAGTCAGAATTTCATTGCTCAGGGAAACGTGTTTTTTCATCTGTGCACATGAAAATAAACACTTTGAATCTTTGAACAGATCTCAGGAACAATCTCAGAGATCTCTGTTCAGAAGAGCTCAGTCCTGGGAACAGATAAGTTATTGAATAGAACCGTCAAACTCCCAGGCCTCTGGTAAAAAACCCCAAGTTTGAAGGGAAGTGGAAAAGTAGGGCGAGCTTCAAGTTTAAACTGTATTTATGGCAATAGAAGAAAGTGTCTCATATAATCTAAACTGGACACATTTGTTACAGAGTATTTTAAACTGGCCTTGAAATCCAAGTAACTGACCTGTAACATTTTACTTTATGACTTTTGTTTCTTTCCTTTCAGACCATTAATGTGACCACTGTGGCAACAGGCTATGGTTTGACTATGGCTTGCGACACACTCATTTCTCAGGTGAGCACATCATCTTGTCTGTGCATCAGTTTATTGCACATCATAAAAAATAATCGGAAACATTTTAAGATTTTCTCACTTGGACTTTGAAGACATTCGGCAGTAAGAACATGAAACGTGTGGGGGTGATTCTCCAGAGAAGTTCCCTCATCCTGCTGCTGTTTTGTCTGCCCTGTTGGGGTCTTCTTATGAACTCTCACAACTTACTGCTCCTCTTGCACCAAGAAGAGGAGGTGGCCAGGTGAATCACTCTATTCTCTTTTAGACAAATGAGGAATTTCAGCACATTTTAATCTCAGCTGTAACATTTATCAGCAGTTGTGACATCTATATTACCCTATTTTATGTCTTTTATTGCTCAGCTTTCAATGCACATTCACCGATGTGTTATATGTATGACACAACCCCAAGTGTTGATTTCTTTCACTGCAGCACACTCTGTTCATATGAAGTCAGAAACATAATCTTATTTGCCTATTTATTTCAGAATTGCCCAGCTTTATTTGATGGTGTTTCTGCCAGCTGTTCCAGTGAGTAAAACTATATATATTTTTAAAAATTCTAATAAAACGTATTGCATACCGCTTTATTTCCAATAATAATGGAAAAACACTGCTTAGGTTTCCAATAAATAGCATTTATAGCTGTTTTTTCCCTCTGCTTACAGAAAAATTTAAATAAAGGCATTTTAAAGGCAGGATTTTATTGTTTCATCATATCTGTGCTAATATGACAAAATGCATAACAGCCTTGAATATAAGTGGAAAAAGTTTTGCAAATCATCCTCTTGTTTTATATTTATGTTTTCTACAACATCCCAGCTTAATTGGAATTGGGGTTGTATATAAAATCCCTCAAACATATATTAAAGTTATAATTTACAGAATTCAACATGGTTGTTTTTCTTTGTGTTACAGGCCATGTTCCTGCATCAGCTACAAGTTTCCTACCTACAAAACCAAGTAGGTTCATGTGTAGGCAAGAATCCTTCTGCTTTGCAACATTCCAGTTAGATTTGCTCCTTAAAAAAAACTCAGTAAATGCGCAGCATGTTGACCAGCAAAACAGGACAAAATTTGTTGTTTTGTCTTTCTCTGTAAAGAGAAAGAATATTACTTGTTATTTTGATTTGTTTTGAATATTTGTGCTAATTATGTACAAAATGTGTGATATGTTAGGACTTTACACCCTTACATGTGCTTTTCTTTATTATATAATCATGTTTATTCTGTGTGATCATCGTGTCTGCAAACTAATTGTGCATTTTACAACCTTTTTAGGGGATTATTCTACCTCAGATGTACACAGCTGCAGTGGCAAACATCTTCAACTTGGGCATCAACTACCTTTTAATCTCTGTTCTCAAGCTGGGAGTCGTGTGAGTGTGTCAAACATTTCCTAACTTTTAATTATCGATGAACTTTGTATTGTTTGATACATTATCAGACCTCACATAGTACGGCAGATCAAATGTGTTACTATAAAGATGAAAGAGTTCTGAAATGATGACTAGAAGTTAAGATGGAAAAACTGGGCCAGACTCTATCCGTTTTGTCTAATCATCTTTCTCAGAGGAGCAATTTGTTTTTTGTTCTGACACAGTCAGCAGTTCACTGAAGTTTATTATGTTTTAACCTTATTTAGAGAGAGAAGCAGAATAAGACAGAGAGAGAGAGAAGAGAGAACTGTGTCAGGAGTTGATCTTGTTCCAGCTGGACAAACATTTGAGTCATCAGGCCGTTGACCAATCAGGTCTCTCTGCTTGGGTTCGTTTTCCCCCTCCTCTTCTGTCCCACATCAAGCAGGGACTCCTGCCAACTATCAAAGGCTTTTCTGTCACACGGAGCTCCAATATGCAAAAAGACAAATGTAACTTGCAGTTTCTGGGTGATCGCTCTCCATGATTCTGCTCAGATTCAAGATAGAATCACAGCTGTATGTCCCCTAAACATCTGTCCATCCTTCAGTGGATTAAACAAATAAAACTCGTCTTTGATGTGTTTGCAGAGGATCAGCGGTCGCTAACAGCCTCTCTCAGATCATCATCTGCCTGCTGTTGTTTGGCTACATCAGATGGAAGAAGCTCTACAAACAGACATGGGGAGGTGAGATCCACACAGATGAGTAAATATGAACAAACCCAGTTTAAGTGGCTCACCTGGGTCTGTGGACTCATGCGCGATTTGTTTTGAAACCATCTGCAGGCTGGTCCACTGACTGTCTGCAGTCCTGGGACACCTACATGAAGCTGGCCATTCCCAGTGCCTGTATGGTCTGCTTTGAGTGGTGGGTCTGGGAGGTTGGAGGTTTCCTCGCAGGTGAGTTTCGAAAAAAAATGTTTCCATCACATCAGAGGACACTGCAATGACTAACATTAATTTCCTCCCTGAGAGATAACTGTAATCACTGTTTGCTTAGTTTTTAATCCTCTCTGTAAGTATATATATTTGCTTTAGGTAAATCCTGTCTGGATGACTGGAATTCAGGTGCAGTTATAGGGATGGGGTCACTGGGGCATATGCCCCAGCTAAAATCTGATTGGACCCCTGCAGTTGTGGGCAGCGCTAATCCAATAATTAGCTCCGCAGTTTCTAAAGCGCTCATGAAATTTTTAGGTGCACATCTTCAAAAGTGCTTATGCCATAGAAAAATTAGTAGAAGCTAATTTTAAAGCACAAGTTCAAGTTGACACTTACTAGCTGGCAATAATTCATGTACAATACATGCACAACACTACCAACTAGCAGTGTATGAACCCTCTTACAGCTTATTCCTACAACTGCCGATTGCTGGGGATGTGATTTCCTGAAACAGACCTTTGGCTCCTGGTGTAAAAATTAAAAAGTTGTTGAGGATTGCTAGTTCGGCTGCTTCTTTGTCTTTTTCTTTTGTTTGCTGTAGATTTTTTTTTATTAAAGAAGCATCAATAAAGTAATTTTAAAACTATTTATTGGAAAACTGAAGTGATTCATTCTGGGTACATGACGGATTTGATTTGTGACGGGAAATGAAAGCACGGAGTACTGGACACTATCTGCGAACTTCAAAATAAGAGCTTGGATTTTAAAGTTTTCCATGTAGTTGCCCCAGTTGACCACTAGATGTCAGTCTTCATCAGCATAACATCTTTAAATCATTTCTGCGTCTCTAACCCCATTGGCCGATTGTTGCTGTTGGACAGATCACGTGTGTTGTGATTCATTGACAGCCATACCTGCAGCTGTTCAAGATAATGATGACTAGTAGATAATTAGTTGTTAGCGGTACTGCATTTTAATTTTAGAAAGCGCAAATCTGCTTATAAATTATAAAAATTAGTAAGTCAGCTAAAGCGCAAACAAAATATTTAGGTCTGCAATTAGCGGATTTGCGCTTTAGCGGGCTGGTGCCCACCACTGGACCCCTGAAATGCTCCAGTTTTGTCACTCATCTGTCCAAATACTAGTGGTGCAAATGAGTCCAATAGGAAAGTCCAACAAGAATCAAGTTTACAGAAGTCTTCCTCTTTGGAACAATCCTGCATAAAAAGTCCATACTTAACAAAACCAGGGATTTTTGTACAAAGATGTTGAACAAATACTTGAGCCCTCGATGAATAGTGTGGCCTCTTGATGCCTCCTTATTCAGAAAAATCCTAAATCCCCCACTGGTTGAATTTATATTCAAAGTTCAAATGGAACAGGTAATTTTTATGCATACTTGTAAATTAAGAATGTACTCAGAAATTAAATTAAATGATCAGGAATATAAGACAAATGAATTAAATTTTCATTGTTAGTCAAGTGATTTTAAATATGTGAACAAACCTTCCCAAATCTTATCATAAATTACACATTCTTAAATTTAATATAGGTCTTTCTGTGCGGAGTTTACATGTTCAATTCAATTCATTTCAATTCAAAAATATTTTATTGATCCCAGAGGGAAATTAGGACCAGAAATTATGTTCTCCTCCTGCTTGAGTGGGTTTTCTCTGCGCACTCTAGTTTCCTCCCACAGACAACAACATGCACATTTCAGGCTCAGACCTTCCTTGCAAATAAATAGATCTGTGATCTCAGTGGGATTTGCCTGGGTAAATACAAGACAATAAATATTTGACTTAATTAGTTAGGGGAAGTATAACTTTTTTCTTTTAAATTTAAGCCTTGCTATCAAGAAATTATAAACATTTTATAGAAATTTTGGTCACTTTTGGACCTTTTTTTTTTTTTTTACCAGGTAGTGTATTTGTCCTCCTTTGGACATTTATTCCAGTGTGAGTTTCTTTCTTTAGCTTTCCTAACGGTCATAATGTCTAAATTTTCATCAGGTGGGCTCGGAGAGGAGGACCTTGCTGCCCAGCATATTTTAGTAGAAATAGGAGCTATAACTTACATGGTAGGCGTCACTAGTATCACATAAATACAAACCGTAACTGAAGCCAGTAAGTAAAACCTATGTTTGCAGTTCCCTTTAGGAGTCCATGCAGCTGCCTGTGTGCGTGTTGGAAACGCCCTGGGGGCTGGCGATACATCTCAAGCTATTGTCACCTGCAAAGTCACCCTAGTTCTATCAGGTACGAAGCACCTGTTCAGTGCTCAAAACACATTTGATATTTGTGTGAGTCAGAAGACCAACCATGACTTGTACATTTATTCAGATCTTATGTGTTTGCTGCAGCTGTGCTCGCTGTGCTCCAGGGTTTTGTCCTCGCTGGCAGTAAGTCCGTCCTTGGCTACATTTTTACCACTGATGTGTGAGTTTCAGTTCAACACTTCTTTTTTTCATTCTTGTACTGTGCAAAGGCAGCTCTGTTTGTTGATCTCATCGTTCCGTCTGCAGCAAAATTGTGTCGATCGTATCAGACAACTTGACAGTTTACATCTTCCTGCAGTTCCTCGATGCACTCCTGGTATGTTGCTGTTCTTGTCGTGTTTTACACTGATGCCTTGTGTTGATTAGGACACAGAATTGCTCGTCTGTTCTATAAAACCAGTGTCTAATTTTTGTGTCAAACTCTGGGCCTTTTCAGTGTGTCTGCTCAGGAATACTTGTCGGCACTGGGATGCAGAAAATTGCTGCCGTGTGCAATTTGGTGTCTTACTACTTAATTGGCCTGCCTGTGGGGGTGGCACTGATGTTTAAAGCTGAGCTCAGAATATTAGGTAATTTGTTCAAGTTTTGTATATGCCATCTCTCTGCCTGAATCTTGAGATAAGTTTTAGGTCTCAAAAATGGTTGTCACCGTTTCACCAACAGGTTTGGATTTTAATACAACCCCAATTCCAATGAAGCAAAACAACAAATCACTTTCAACCTATGTTCAGTTGAATACACTACAAAAACAAGATACTTATTGTTCAAACAAATAAATTTTTTGCAACTTTTCATTTATTTTGAATTTGATGGCTGCAACACATTCCAAAACAGCTGGGACATGTTCACCCCTGTGTTCCATCAGCTTTCCTTTTAACAACACTCAATAAGCCTTTGGGAACTGAGGACACTAAGTGTTGAAGCTTTGTGGGTGGAATTCTTTCCCATTCTTGCTTGATTGCACAACTTCAGTTGCTCAACGTTTTGGCATCTCCATTGTTGTTTTTTGCTCTTCATAATGTGCCACACATTTTTAATGGGACAGAAGGGACAGTACATATTACAGAAAATGCCAGAATTAGCTGCAGACGCTAGTTTTCATCTGTAGTCTAGTTGTTGATGTCTGGCTTAGCATGGTAGAGTTTTAACTTGTATTTGTAGATGTAAAGACAAACTGATCACTGACAATGGTTCTCTAGAGCAGTGGTTCCCAAACTTTTTATCTTCTGACCCACAAAATATCCATGGCAAAAACTTGTGACCCCAAATATTACTGGTCTGAGTACATGAACTTTGTTAATAACCCTAAAAACACAGGCTTTTTGACAATATAAACAGCTTATACACAAATATTAATACTTATTTATACTTATTTTGTGTTTTTGTAACAGTTWTAGGAAAATATTACACCAGCAATTATTTTATTACACTTTAAATTGATTTCTGGAGATTATCCAAGGTGCTTCATGACCCATAATTGGGTCCCAAGCCCAACTTTGGGAACCAAAGTGCACTGGTTCCCAAACTTTTCAGCTTTTGACCCACATAATAACAGTAGCAGAGACCTGTGCCCCCAGCTATTTTTGTATGATAAACATTTGTATCAGGTCAACAAAACATGGGCATGGTAACAATATTTTTTATACTACATTTATCCATTTTAAATATACTAACCTCACTCCTTTGTAACAACTAAGCCATAAATGTAATTAATTCAGAAAATCTTTTCAGGACCCCACCTTGATGTTTCGGGACCCCACTTTGGGTCCCGACRCCAACTTTGGCAAACACTGCTCTAGAGTGTTCCTGAACCCATGTGGTAATATCTGTTACAGAATGTCAGTTTTTAATGCAGTAAAGGCCCTGTCACACTAGACAACTTATGCCAACTTAAGAAACCTTTTTTTTACATCTAAATTGCTAATAAAAGTTATATATTTGATTTATTATAAATTTGATCAATTTGTTCAAATTACATTATGTACACGCCAAAAAGAAGCTTCCTGTTGATTTTTTCAATTCCATCTTTAATGTAGATGTATTTAAAATGTTCATGAGTTGGCATAAGTTGTCCAGTCTGACAGGGCCTTAAGGGATCAAAGCTCACAGCCATTCAATGTTGTTTTATGATATTATGGACTATAGATGATGAAATACCTTAATTCCATGCAATTGTGCTTTGAGAAACGTTCTGCATGCAGTTGTTCACAAAGTGATAAACCTTGCCTCATCCTTGCTTGGGACTGACTGAGCCTTTCAGGGATGCTCCCTTTATACACAATCATGACACTTATCAGTTTCCAGTTAACCTGTTTACCTGTGGAATGCTCCAAACAGGTGTTTTTTGAGCGTTCCTCAACTTTTCCAGGCTTTTGTTGCCCCTGCCCCAGCTTTTCTTGGAACATGTTGCAGGCATGAAATTCAACATGAGTAAATATTTGCAACAAACCAATAAGGTTTATATGTTTGAACATTAAATATCTTGTCTTTGTAGTTTATTCAATTTAAGATAGGTTGAAAAGAACTTGCAAATCATTGTATTCTGCCTTTATGTTTTACACAATGTCCCAACTTCAGTGGAACTGTGGTTGTAAAACAGTGCAACTCTTGTTATGTATTAAACATGTTACTTGTCTCATTTGTACTGGACATACATAAAAAGCTCAGTAACATATTTATTATGGAGGATTAGTTAATAAAATCTTTACAAAAATAACCATCAAAACAAGCTGCATGGTTGTGAGCCTTTCACAAGCAAAAGCTTTTTTTTCTCATAAATCCAGCCGTCAATGATCAGCATGTTGCCGTAATTTCTTTTAACGAGATCACAGAGCACCAAACATAATTCTTGTGTGTTTAAAGATCAGCACCCTTGGAATAAATGCAAAGTGAAGTTTGTAGTGTGCATTTAAATCAGGGGTCATTAGCGATGCCCACTGAGCTGATCTTCCACTTTTCTACTCATTTTTAAATTTTCTTCCCTGCAGTTCTCAATTTACCCCCCACCACAGTGGCGCTCTCCACTGTCCACTCAGACTGAGTGCTCCGTGGAATGCGCACACTTCTGTGCACACACTCATACAGTATTTTTTATCATCAGCACTCTTGTGCACACTGAAGCCTTTAATGCGTAATATTTGTGACAAGCATTTTATTTGTGTTTTAAAAATATGAAGATCATTTTTTCTTTATTACATTGTACCAGCCAGCTAAGGATGTTCAAATTAACTTAGATAATAATAGAAGGGTGACTGATGTATCTGAAGATGATGATAAATTTTAAATTGCTTTATTTTTCAATCTTCCATTGAGTAAAAATAAGTCATTGTTACTTGATGCAGGTTAAAAATGCCAACACTGAGTGGTTTAAAAATACATTTAGTACTATTCAAAATAATTAACTTTATCTTAACTTTAAACATTATTAATTTTAGACATTGTCGTCTTATCAAACACTAATGAATTATTCATACAACATGAAAATTGTCATATTTTTAAAATGTAAATATTTAAAATGTCTGAACAAGTCTGAATTTGTTTCTTTCCTCTTAGGTTTGTGGCTCGGGCTCCTAATTTGTGTTTTCATTCAGACCAGTTTCTTTCTTGTTCTCATCTTTAAACTCAATTGGAAAAATGTCACCCGAAAGGTGAGATACCTTTTTTTTTGTTAAATTTTAATGTTGAAATCAAAACCCTCCATCTACAATACATTTCTGCTGTATTCGAAATACAGCAGATATGTTTTTATTTTGGTTTAAATATAAATCTCTTAAAAACATTTAGACAATTTGAAATTCAATGTGCATGAAACCTTTGAAAAATTAAAACTGCGTACAAATACACGTATTTGTTTTTAGACTATGTTGTTTATATCATATCTAGTAAATTTAATCTTAAAATGTATTTGTCCATATTGAACATGTTTCAGGCTCAGAAGCGAGCTGGGAAATTGATAGTGGTGACACCTAAACCTCCTGTTGCTACAGTCCTAACTGAAGCCATGATGTCAGACAGTGCTCTCTGCCTGGACACGGTATGTTTGCGATTTTGGTTATGATTTTGAGGCTGTTTATACATTTATTAACTGCTTTTTTTTGCACCGTAAAGGCACAGCTGAACGGTGACATGCCTCCTAATAAAAAAGATGGTTACAGTCCTGTTATTACCAAAGATCTGGAGATGAAGGCGAGTCGTGAGTCGGAGGAAAAGAACATGAATGCAGGAGGGGCCGAAAGGGACGCTGAACAGAGCAAAACAAACACCATAGAAGAAGAGAAGCTCTCAACCTCTCAGCTGATCACGCGTCGAGGATTCACGTTGTTTTTCTCAGTTCTCATGRTGGCTGTAGGAGTTGTCTGCCACTTTGCTTTCCCTGTGCCAGAGCCCAGCCTCCAGAACAGGGCCAACTTTACCCTCAGCTGGGCCAACCACTCCACTCCATCACCGCTGAACTCCACCACAACCTTCTGAGCTGCGTTTAACCTGGGGTTGGTGACACCTTGTGGACTGTGCTTGGTACTCACGCCGTTATTTCAAGAGGCCACCGGGTTTATGTTGCGCTGTGCGAAATGCCTCAGTGCTGCACTGCAGAGCAAATGAAAGCAAATGGCACTGAAACTGGCAGGAAGAACAAAGGTCCTGCAGCACAGACTGGGTTTAACACACTCGGTCTGAGGGGCCTTAGTGGGACAACAAGGTCCTTTACCAATCCTTTTACTGAAACATGCTTTTATTTCCTGGAGGAAAGGACACTTTACTACAAAATAAATCTGATTTTCTCATGTATGCATGGTTTGATTAGTGCACTGTGATGTACTTGCCTACATTTTAACATGGAAATTAATGTAAATATTTGTAATACATGTGTAAAATTTACATGTAAATAAATGAGTGTATCTACACAAATAGAGGTAATTTTAATCCTCTTTGTGTTGATGATGATTCTGTTATAAAACGCTGCTCGTTTTCCAATAGAGGCCATAACCTCTATGATGCATTCCCTTCAAAGAAATCAGGACCTTGCTATACATGCTAATATTAGTTTCTTCAGTGAGCACAGTGCATCATACCTCAGTCTTGAGCTATTGACAAGAAACCGTTCCCCTCGTCTCTTTTCACTTGTTAATGATGCCCCAGCGTGTTACTGATTGCAGTCTCTGGAGGTAAGCGGGCCCAGATTGAAGGCTCTGTGAGGAGCCTGTGACAATATGTCTGCTGATGAGCAGAATGTATCCATGTATGAGTCCAACCTGATTTACATGTTGAATAATGATGCAGTTTTATGCATGTTTACGTGGATGTGACATATACCAGTTTGCTATAAAGGTGAGGGCTTGTGTGTGAACGACACAGGGAAGAACACACATTTTTATTATTAATTTTAAGTCATTAACATTAGTGAAGTCAGTACCCTTTGTAAAAAGATTTGGTTAGTGTTGCAAAAAATAATTAAGATGATTTTAATCATTGTTTTTGTAAGAAAAATCAGGGGAAGGTGCGGGATGTTTGAAGATGCGGCAGATTATTTTTATTTTCTTTGTTAAAAATCCCATTTTGCTGCACCAGAATCCAAAGTTTTAAACTTCGCGGATTTGAGAGAGACATCTCATGCTTTTAAATCATTCAGTTGGGGTCTATTTAAGTGGAACTGCAATGCTTTGGCCTGAATTCCTCGTTATTGCAACTCCACAAGCCCCATTTCCCCATTTTCATGGTGCATCTCAGATCAACTCGTTGCTGCCTCATTAAATTCAAATATGTAATTGTGCTAGTTCTATTACAACAAACCAATAAGAGTTACACTGTGCTACAGTGGTGCCACAGGAAATTACTTGCCTCAGTGCATGGTAACATTTCTGTTTTTTACTAAACATTTTAAAATGAAACGTCTACCAACCTGGTGCTGCCAGATTAGAGAGAAAACAGCCAACAGAAAGAGATGTTTTTAAGGTTTAAACTGATGCTTAAAAAGTCACAATCTCAATAATATTTTCTGTTTGTTTAAAACAATCTCAACTAATTAATTTTTAAACATGTTGTCAGGCAGATTGTGTTGAATTTCATAGACTCCTGTCTTTAAACTAAATTAAATGGACAGATTTCCGGCTGTAGTAGAGGATTATTGAGTAACAGGAGCCAAATAAATGTGAAAATAACAATATAAATTGTTTGCCATGAAGCAGGAGAAACTTTGTTCTAAGCGTCACACTGAGCAGCTACAGGTAGCTGGTTATTTGCTCCAACAGGTGATTGATATGCTCATTGTGACATGTCTCCATCCACTCTGCATGTTGCAGCACGAGCACACAGACCTTTCATTATCATCAAATTTGGCAGCACAGATCAAAGGAAAGAAAAATAAACGAAGGAGAAATCACACGCTTTCTGTTTGTGATGAAGGCACAAGCACATGCAGTAGCCTGAATCTAACAATAAATCATGTTTGAAACTGTAACATCCATTCAAACACTGGATACAAATATATGCCGTGAACCCCTCCTTCATTTTATATATGTTCATATAAGTGTCCGTTAGGTTTTCCATTTTTAAAAAACAAAACCTTTGTTTGTAGACGTGTAAAGGATTGTGTTAAGTAAAAAAAACGAACTGCTTTTTACAGTCGTCTGACAAATCTGAGCGATGGTGTGGGAGGTATGAAGGATTTACTGACACAGTGCTGCACTGCAGTGCCATTTCACTGAGCGACTGTGTCTGCAGTGCACAACAGTCATCCAGTACGCAGATGATGGAAAAAATGGAAATGTAGCCACACTTACAGCTAATTTATGCTAGCACTCAACTACCATTTGCTGATGTGTTTAAGGTCGGATCGTTTTTGCAAATCAGCATTTATAAACAAACAAAACAAAAAAGGAAACTTTTTAATATTTTCTACTCTACATTAATTTTGGTTGTAATTGTTGTCAACCTAGTGCTCAGTTTGTATTAAGAATTACTTGTAATTTAGCCAACAATTGCTAACCCAATGTTTTAGACATTGATTAAACTGCTTTCACAATAATTACGATTTTTATTTTTAACTGCCTATAGAAATGTGTTCCTTGCGTTGAATTCAATGTATTATTAAAAAATGTTACACATAAATAAATATGGGATATCTTCGACCAGGAAGGACGATCAGATTCAGCCTTCATTTCTGGAGTTTTGTGGGCCACATTCATCAGCTGCATGCAGAGCCCACTGATTGTGACAGCCTTCAGCGTGGGGGCAGTGATGCAAGACGTAAGCTGCCAACAAATGCAGACTTTGAAAGACGCAACTCCTGAACTGAGACACTGACAAAGTGTTGTGAAAGTTGTTGTAGTGTGTGCGGGGTGAGGAAAACACGTTAATGCAGTGTTTTTCAACCCTGGTCCTGAAGGCACACTTTTACTGCCTGTTTTAGATGTTTCCCTGCTTCAACACAGCTGATTTCAATAGATAAGTGATAAACAGGTTTTATTAAACTGCAATCATTTGAATCAGGTGTGTTAAAGGAATATAGGTTTTTAATTTTTTTTCTTTTTTTCTTTTTCTTTTTTTCATTGTTGCCTGCCTTCTCCAGTTCCACCAAGTATAGTAGTGGCGGTAATGCACTAAAACAGTCTGCCAACCGCCATTAAAGCAAAAGAAGAAGAAAAAGAAGAAGAAGAAGAAGAAGAAGAAGAAGAAGAAGAAGGAGGTGTGTTAAAGCAGGGGAACTTCTAAAACATGCAGGGCAGTGTGCCTTCAGGACCAGGGTTGGGGTACACCACATTAACAAAACTGATCAACAAAATATCAGCTGAATGATTCAGTCAGTGCCACGATCTTGTAATCCTGGGGCTGTGGGGTTTAAGTCCACATTGTGTCAGGAGGGGCATCCAGCTTAAAATAATTGCAGAATGTTTTACACAAATTCACTTAGTGACCTCTGCTGAAGCAAACAACAGAAACAACAGCATAGAAGCAGCAGTTTTAGTAATATTGGGCAATGTTTAAACATTTTGAACAATTAGAAGTTGAAGTCTGATGCTGTAAACTTGTACTATTGACTGTTTCAGTTTTATTTAGTCTTTTCTAAGCTGTTAACAATAACATATGGTTTCCTTCAAAAGAACTTAGTCATAATCCTGTGCAAATTGTATAAGTATTTTGTCATCACAATTATGCATGTTTCAAGGCTATGGGAGAAAACTGGAGTACTCAGCAAAACCTTATGAGCTGAGGCAAAAACACACAGACTCAACACAGAGCAATTCAAAATTCAACCTCAAAGCTGGTAAAAAGAAATATTTTCTATTTTTCATAAACCAAGAAAAAAAAAACCACCGATATGAGTTTTGAAGAAACCACCCAAATTTTATGTTCCATAGTATCAATTAGTCTTTTGAAGTATATTTATGACACACACACACACACACACACACACACACACACAC